CATAATTTTAACTATATAATATAAAATTATTTTTATTAACATAGTTACTTTTTGAACAACTATAAAATATTATATAATATGTTTATAAGTATTATTTAAATAATTTTCTCTAAAAATATTTAAATAATTTTATATTTTAAATTTACATGTTAAAATTAGTATAATTATATATGATTAAATATTAAATACAAATTTTATAATATGTATATATATATATATAATATTTTATATATTACTATATATATTGATGTTTTATAATATATATTTATATGTTTCCTAAATTAATATCTAATATACATAGGTTATATTTATTATAGTGACCATAAATCTAGCCCTTAATTAGACTTTAGTCTCCCCAGTTTTTTTTTTTTTTTCCTTCATATATGTGACCGCTAAAGAAGTATATTTTTCTACAGAGAGAGGATTCGCAAGTAAAGGTAACATTTTCCATTTAGGTTTGATTTAATCACATTTTTCATTCTATATTTTTTTTAATGTAATTTTGATATTTTTAGTTATAGTTACTCACATTTAATCCTAATGATTTATTAATTATTAAAATTAAGTCTCTCCCAAACAAGAAATTGAATACAAATATTTAATGTATTGAATTAAGATCGAATTGTTAGAATAGTGTCTAAATTTGATTTTTAATATAAATAATTTTTTATCAGATTTTATTTATTTTTTAGTCGAGTCAACTTAGCTTAAAGTTTTAGGATATTAGTGTGAAAGTAAAAAAAAAAAAAAAAAATCTTTCCAATTAAATTTTACCTAATAATTTTTATAAAGATAAAGTCATACTTTTAGTTATAATTTCATGTTGAACACATGAATTAAATTTAATGTAAAAGAAATTATTTGACAATTGAAAAATTATTATCCTACAATCATAAACGTGATCTAAGGAGATTTATTTTGGAAATCACACTATATCATCAATCACTATAATTCAATCTAGTGTTTTGTTGTAACTATGGTGTGTATATCTGAGTTTATCTCTACTCTCAAGCATGAATAACAAAATAAAACTATTCTGTCTTGGAATCTTTTACAGCTAGCATCAGAACTTTCAGACTCTGAAATTCAGTGGTGATGATTGCACATAAATTGAGGCTCCTAAGGTGATGTAGACTCTATCACTGTATAAATTGAACTCCAACGACTTGAATACTCAGGTACAACTTCAAGGAGAAAATTATAAAGAAAAGGCGCGTGCCATAAGAATGTCATTGCATGCTCAAAGAAAATGGAGTTTTATAGAAGACACCGCTAGAGCACCAAAAGAGGACTAGTGAATTATACAATCTATGTTGGTCTCATAGATTCTAAATTCCACTAACCCAAATTTGTGGTGCACCATGTCTTATATAGAAAACGCAAAATATAAGAGGACTTATATCAAAGAAAGGTTCTGTAGGGCCCGATAGTCCACCTTTTCCTTCACCATAGTATGATATTGTCCGCTTTGGGCCCAAGCCCGCACGGTTTTGTTTTTGGGCTCCTTCCCAAAAAGGCCTCATACTATGTGGAATGGTGGACACTTATAAACTAGCCAATATTCCTTCATTTTACCGATGTGGGACTTGGGATGAATCCCAACAAACCTCCCCTCAGACCAAGGACCACATGTCTCGTGATCTCCTCCCCCTCAAGCGATAATTCGTCACTATCTTGTACCGCCGTTAACTCTACGGGACACGCCGCCTGAACACCACAACATCAGGAAGACTTTCGACACAAGGCACCAAGTTCGGATCTCCATCGCGAGGCACAACACTGAGGGTCTTCCCGCATCGAACCCTAGTCGAACCGTTGGCTCTGATACCACTTGTAGGGCCCGATAGTCCACCTTTTCCTTCACCATAGTATGATATTGTCCGCTTTGGGCCCAAGCCCGCACGGTTTTGTTTTTGGGCTCCTTCCCAAAAAGGCCTCATACTATGTGGAATGGTGGACACTTATAAACTAGCCAATGTTCCTTCATTTTACCGATGTGGGACTTGGGATGAATCCCAACAGGTTCTTTATTGTGAAAGGTCCCAAAATATATCAGCTGAAATTTGATTTGGTGAGGTGTAAACAAGACAACATGACGATGGTGGCATACTACGGAAAACTAAAATCATTGTGCGATGAATTCGCCGATTACGAATAAATTTCGACTCGTCGTTCTGGTAGGTGTAGATGTGATACAACTTCAAAATTAGAGAAGCAGAGAGAATTCAATTCCCCAATGGATTGGACAATGCGCAACTTCCAGAACTGTTCGATCCAACCACCTTGCAACGAATCTGCTACCCAATTTGAAAAGGGTGTATTCAACCATGATTCATGAAGAAAGGGAAAGGATGATCCTAGGGAATAAAGAATATGAGATTGTATGTTGACTAACACCAATTCAACAAAGTTATCATTTATTTAGGATAGATCGATGACCTCATGAACCTCTTAGTGAGAGTCTATGTTTAGCAAACACTATGAACCCCTTATGAAGTTTGAGAATATTTCAAAGCATGTCTTTAAGAATTGTTATAACAAGTACTATAATTATTTGGTTATGTCCTTTGGTGTGACCAATGTACCTATTAAGTTCATGGGTTACATGAACAAGATCTTTTATTCCTACCTAGATAACTTTGTGATGATCATAAATACTATCTTAATGTATTCTAAGATTAGGGAGGAGTATGAGGCATCTGAGGGTTGTGTTATAAGCTTTTAAAGACAAACAACTATATGGTAAGTTGTCAAAGTTTTGAGTTATAGTTACACAAAGTTAATTACTTAAGTCATGTGACATCTATGGGGAATAGCAATTGAATTGTCTAAGATAGAAGTTGTTCCTGGTTGGGAAGCCCTAACTTTTGTGAGTGAGATTAGAAGTTTTTTTGGTTTAATAGAGTACTATAAGGTTCGTAAAGGGTTTTCTAAGATAGCTTTTCTCTTGACCAAGTTGACTTGTATAGGTCAAACTTTTATTTAGGATGTTAAGTGTGATAGCAGCTTTCAAATCTTAAAGATAAGTTAATGTTAGTTATTTCGCAAGTGCACCTACTATCGCAAGTAGTAAATAAATAGATGACATATCCATGGTAGCCATGTTGTGGTGGCTCCCTCAAATGGTTCACTTAAACGAACTCTTCATAATGCCCTAGGGGTGCTTTTTGAGTTGGTTCACTCAAAGTGCTTAGATGACTTATTTGAGTGAGCTATTCATGGTATTTCAATGATGTCTTCTAAGTTGGTTCGTAGAGAGCACCTAGATTACATCTTGCTTGTTTCCTACTTTAAGCAAGCACTCCAATGTTCAACTTATTTCCTTGTCTTTTTGACATTAGCTCCTTCCTCTCTATATCTCAAAACTAACTAAAAAACATCAAAAATACCTAAGACTTAAACAATTCTATTAACTAAACAAATCTTAACTCAAATTGCTTAAACGAGTCTTAAAAGTATAAGATATGCTCGATAGTTGCATAAATTGGATAAAAGATATGAGCATATTTGGTAATTATTAGTTAACATTTGCAACAATTGTCTTAGTGTTGCCCAACCTTAGTAAACTTGTTATGTATTGTGATGCTTCAAAAAAAAAAAAATTCAGAAGGAGTGTTGATGTAAGAGGGTATTTTTTTTTTTTTGTAGCTTATTTTTCTAGGCAGTTGAAAATACATGAGAGAAACTACCAACCCATGATCTACAATTAATAGTTATAATTTTTGCCCTTAAGCTTTGAGTTCCAAGCTTAATTTGAATTAAGCTTATCACCCACAAAAAAATGTCCAAACATAAAGAACCATCTCATCCTTATAGGACTTGCTCAAAACTTGTGTATTAGACTAAGGGATAGTTGGGATCATCTCTTGTATTTAATAGATGGTAGATTAAAGAAAACTCTTGATCCCTCAAGAATATAAGCTTTAATATTAACAAACTTGAACATTTTTTATAAAGAAATATTTTTTATATTATATGAGAATAACAAATTAGAAAAATAATTCGTTATGATGATGTGTAGTCTTTTAGATAGATCACTTCGCTTATCTTAGATGAATGCATTAAATATATCATTTATGATATCCGACAATATTTTACATATAAAAATATAAAAAAAAATATAAAATTTTGAAAGAATTAATTTAAAGTAACTAAATAATTTTAATATCAAACATACTTGAATTAATATTTTTGTCACGACAATACAAAAGATATAACGATACAAATAATTAACAACATGAACCGAAAAGAATTAAAAAAATTATAAATATAGAATTTCTTTTTGTCTTAAATTATATAGACTAAAAATAATTAAAAAAAAGTAAGTATAAAAACTGAAAGTTATTCGTAAAAGAGAAAAAGAAAAGAAAATGAGGTGATTACGCAGCCAAAGAGTTGTGAGTGACGTGAGCCACAGAGAGTTCCATTACAGTAGGAACACTTTCTCCCCGTTGGCCCATTCAAAGCCCATCACCCTGTCTCTTCCTCCTCCTTCTCCCGTTCCTACTAGAACCTTCCTAATCCTAATCAATTCCCTCAAATTAAACTAGGGTTTATCTGGGGTTTAGTTTAGTTACTCCTCCCATTTCCCAAAACCCCAATACTCAAACCTTCCTAATTTCTTCTTCTCATCACCCAAATGGTTCGCTCCCATGGCGTTACCCTCGTTAACCGCCTTGCTCGTCGATCTTTCCGTGATGCCAACAACTCTGTACGCGTTTTTTTTTGTTTCTTCCTTTTGTTTTCTTTTTCTTCACAATTTTTCTATTCAATATGATTTTCCAATTGTGTGGGAATTTTAATTTGCAGGTATGTCAAGCAGTGTTCCGACAGGGTTATAGGACATTGAGCTTTGGGCCTTGCAATTCATCTAGAGTTATTGGTAGTTTTGCCTCCAATGGTGTGTGTTAATTTAACCCGTTTCTTTTCTTTTTAAAACCTTTATATCACTGTTTGCGAAACTGAGTAAAGTATCAGCTTTTGTTTCAAGTTCAAACTTCTCAGTTTGTGTTTTGTAATTTGGTTGTATGGTTATCGGTCCATATCTTCTTTTCCTTGCAATGTTGGATTTAATTTAAGTGTTTTTTTTTTTTTTTTTTTTTTTTTTTTTTTTTTATTATTTTTTTATGGTTATATTCCTTATATACTTTTAGATTGTGTTTTATGCTCACCTCCTCCTCGTGACCATTTGCAGTTGGAGATGGTGTTAATTTGAAGAATTGTTTGCTATTGGGAGCGGCAAATAAATATTGGGGGGCATCTAGATCAATTCATGGCTCGGGTATGAAGCTATAAATTATTAAATTCTACATCGCATGCATGGGTTGATTTTAACTATTCATGGAACCATGTGGCCATATGCTTGAGAATTGTTTTTTTGTTATTTATTGCTTGCATGTTGTCTACTATTTTCTTTAGATTAGGATGCCAGAAGGAGCTTGAAGTTCACGTACCTTTCATTCAATACTCTCCTTGCTTCCTTATGCATACTTGTTTGTTGTTGCTTGCATGTCAATGACATTTGTTTTCCTGACACTCTTTTACAGCATCATTGGCAAGAGACTATTATGATGTTCTTGGTGTGAGTAAGAATGCAAGTTCTGCTGAAATAAAGAAAGCTTACTATGGGGTAAGTTTCTCCTTGCCATTGTCAGTATACATGAAATATGTGTTTAATTATCTGACCCATTTTCTGGTAAAACTTTATCAATTTGCAAATGCTTCATATAGATGAAGAATAAAATAGACAAGGAAGAAATACAAGTGATAGAAACAGAAAAAAAAATGCAGTGAAAAAGATGTGGACAAAAAATAAAATGGAAAGGAGTGTAGAAATTTCTCAGGGCTTGTTTGGAACGGAGCTTTGATAAGAGAGCTTGTGTGGATTGCAAGGTGATCCAATAGAGAATCTTACTGCACAACACTAGGTCTAGATCCTTGATGTTCATTTTAGGATTTGTAAAGACTAAAGAGAAAACCCAACCAGTTACAAATCCAAGAGTCAAGTGGTAGTAGCTCAAAGGTGATAAACATTTGACTCTTAAGAAATTATTTGAAGAAGGTCATCAAAAATTTCAAGGTAATGCTAACTTCATTTGGGATGAGATGTCTTGAGTTAGAAATTATGTAGTTAAAATAATCTTAGGTGAATAAAAATATTTTTTCATCAAGAGATGAGGAATCTTTGTGGCGGAATGAATGTGTTGAAGTCAAATAAGTGTTGAGAAACAAAAGGGGTTTTCTTAAGGCCTTACACAAGTGCAATAATGTTGCTAATTAGGTAAGATGTCAGAAAGCTAGAAATACAAGGAAAGTTGTGATTGAGGTTGAATCCAAAGTTCTTACTAGTATGATGGGGTAATTACTAGTGTGAGAACTCTTGAAGGTGAGACTAAGGACTTTCCCATAAGGATAAGTTTACATCAAGATTTAGTCCTGAGTCCTTGTTTAATCTAGTATTGGATGTGCTTACTAGGGACACACCAAAGATTAAAGTTGAAATGCAAGGGTTTTGTATTAGTTGTGTATTTTGTACATTCACTAATATCCCTTTTACAGGGTAATGATTATGCTTATAAAAAGGAAATTTGGAAATAAGAAAAATGAGCAAATAAGGAAACAAATATCTAAAGATATTTAGAGATATTTTTGACCCAAATATCTATGATACATACAACACGCCTCTCAAGTTGGTAAATGAATATCAATCATTCCCAACTTGCAAATAAGATCTTGGAATTTAGCACTAGGAAGTCTTTTTGTGACGTCATGTGTCACTTGAAGTTATGTTGGTATATGTGTTTTAACTATAAGGCTGCCATCTAACTTCTTTTTGATAAAGTGCTTGTCAATCTCTATGTTTGTTCCTTCACGTTGGAGTCGATTAATAGCAATGCTAATATCTGAAGTGTTATAACAAAACAATTTCATGGGACCTTCATATTTAACTTTGGGGTCACAAAGAATAATCTTCACCGATAATTCTTCATGTATATAGTTGGTAGATTACTGTGTTCTTTAAGCATGTTATCAGGGGTTCAAGTTCTTGGTGCATATGAATATATCTTCTTTGGGTGAGGCAAAACCCACTTCACTGGTCTTTATGTCTCGGAAGGAATAAGTCTCCAACTATTGGTTTGGAAATATCCGTGGTGCCCATCGAAGCAAAAGGTTGAAAAGTCAACTTTTGCACTAGATGGAACAATTATATTTTGCTTCTTGCTCCTCCATGTTATCAGATGCCCACCAAGAATTATGCAATAACTAGAAGTGGATCTTCTATACGTAATTGACCATTTATAGTCAACAACAATGTATATCTCCATGGACAATGAGCCTTCTCTTCTAAATAACAATCCTTTCCCTAGGCCGCCAGTCTTCAAATAATGGAGAGTCCTCTCAACTCATGAAGGTATCTCTCACGAGTTCATGAATAAATTAGCTCCACACTAAAAACTTAGGCAATATTAGACCTAGTGTGGGATAGACATATCAGCTTCCCAACCAATCTTTGGATTGGGACTTCTCTACATGTGGGTTTTCTTCTTTTCCAATCTTGTAATTTTGCTCAATGGGTACCCTTGTGGTCTTGCATCCCAATTTTCTTGTTTCCTTAAGAAGATCAAGAACATATTTCCTTTGGGAGCTAGAATAGGCAACCTCTATACCAAGGAAATACTTAGGCTTTTCAAACTCTTTCTCAAAATGAGTTGTCAACTTTTCTTTTAGAGTTTGTTTTTGTCACATCATCACATGCAATGATCATATTGCTTACACATACTTGGAGAAGATTGAGTGCCATTGGGGAAACAATTTATGAATAGAATACGATTGCCTCAACTCTATTTGTATTGTAGGAACAGTGGAACACCATTGCTTGATTAAATCTTCCTAACCATACGAAGTCTTCTTGAACCTACACACTTTTTTCTTTCCATTGGGAGATTCACATCCTTGGGGAATCTCCTTTTAGACTTCCTCCTTTGGTTCTCCATGCAAGAAAGCATTTTTACATCAATCTGCTGTAGGTCTCAGCCAAAGTGGGCAGCTAGGGAGAGAATAATTCTTATTGTATTCATTTTTTCCATGAGGGAAAATATCTTTTCATAGTCAATGCCATAGGTCTATGTGTATCCCTTTGCCAACAATCTTGCCTTGTATCAATTTAATGTCCCATCAGATTTACACTTCATCGTGTATTATCCATCTAAACCCCATAGACCATAGCCTTCTTGTCTTTGGGTTTATGAAAAATCTCCCTAGTTGAGTTTCTTTGTATTGTCACCATATTTTCATTCGTGGCCCTAAAACTCAATTTCTATCTTTGAAAGCATTTTGAATTGATGCATATGTTGTGATTGCATCAATGGCTACAATAAAGTTTAATGTTGGATAGAGAGATGGTTAGTACAAACAAATTGAAAAATGGGATACCTAGCATATAATCTCTTCCCTTCCTCAAGGCAATAGACATATCATTAGCAATTTTCTCAGTATCACTATCATTCTTAGGGATCTTTACCTTTAGTTCAAACAATCAATTTGTTGTGGGATTAGAGTGGGGTTTTCTCGCCTTTAATATTTCTTTCCAAAGAGCCAATCTTTTCTTCTGCTTCATTGTGATCTTCCTCTACTTCATTGTGATATTTCTTTGCTTTTTCAAGATTAGTGTCTTAGACATCATGCAAAGATGGGAGAGGCAATGACCTTAAGACAAACTTGACTTCTAGAATACTCTCCCGTTGAAGCTGAGGGCTGACATTCAAGGATTTTGTTTCATGAAAGATAACATCCTTTGATATAAAAACTTGACTACTTTGAGGGTGATAACACTTGTACACCTTTTTATTAGAGGAGAAACCAATAAAGACATTTGAAAGCTCTTAGGTCTTACAATGATGGGGACTATGAGAATGGATAAATGCAACACACTCAAGCATGCAACCTAGGGGACTCAACAATTGGGGAGAAGAAGGGAAGAATGACAACATGTGTTCAATTGGATTAATACCTTGTAAGAAACGAGTGTGGTACCATGGTCTTGCCAAATTCTTTTCATGGACTTACCAATCTGGTTTTTTACCAGACAAAAAATAATAAATATTTGACAAACCTCAATTTTGTTTCATAAGATAAGTTCACATCACACAGGTAAAATCATTATGTAACTGAGTATAATGCGTTGTTGTTAAGTGGTGGTGCCATGGTGGAATGGGGTGGTGGATTTTTTGCCAACTGCCATTGGCAATTTGTGAAGGAAGTCGATTATGGCAGCAACATAGGCCATGATGGCATGTTTATATGGCAGAATGTTGGCCTTCCACCATATTCTTCCATCCACCATTGATAACACTGATATAATGGATGGCTTCATGGAATCCATATAGCTGACTCCACATAGTGGAATAAGGCTATTTTGTTATTTTTCTTTTATAAGCTTTGATAATCAGAATATACAATATTGTATTATTTTCATGCCTGCATTGTAAAAGTATTTTAGTTCATGTTCATCCTTACCTCTGCCCTTTTTTACCTTGACATGAAATTATCAAACAGGGTTGGTTTGCAGCATATGAATTTCCTTTCTAAAATGATTGTGTATTTTTTTTTTTCTTTTTCTCTCAATTTCTCTTCATTTTCTGCAGCTTGCAAAAAAGCTCCATCCAGATACAAACAAAGATGATCCTGAGGCTGAAAAGAAGTTTCAAGAAGTTTCAATGGCATATGAGGTGGACTCTTGTTTCATTTGTTTTTGTTTGTACCCAAAGACACCGATGTATTTTAAATCTTAATGTCCCAAATTAACTGACTGGTTTTTTGTTGTCTTTTTTCTTGTGTGGTAGATTTTGAAAGACGAGGATAGGCGTCAACAATATGATCAGGTTCAGCAACTTCCCTACTTATTTTAGCTCCTTTGCTCAAAAATTGTATGTTACACATTTTTCTCTAAGTCAGGATAAATTGTAGGAAGAATTTACATGAATTTTTAGTGCATGATATAGGGCAATAAGAAAATGAGGGACTGATAAGATTTGAATAAGGAGTATTCTTTCATGGAGAACTATAGATTTGTATAAGGATGCCTATGAAGAAACAAATGGAGGAAGGGTTGGGTAACATGGTACATTTGTATTTTGTGAGGGAAGATAACAGTGTTCCCTTATTCCTGGTATTTGTTCTTCATGGATAGTGATGATGCTAAAGGCGCTGATAATGTGGACATTTTCTGTGTTTATAATTTGTGAAAATCTGTGGAGATAAAAGTTTCATTTTCTAGTATCTGTAGTCATTATGGAATATGGAATGGGGAGTGGGTCAGAAAATTTTTGTGGCTGTGAATTATTACTGCCCAGTTTACTTTTTCTAGCAAATGGTGTTTTTGGCTTTGTTGATATTACACCTTTTATGTTCAACAACAACATTTCATATTTTGTATGAGTAAGAACTTAGGTTTATTTCATGTTTGAGGAATAATCGTCACTTATTTCATGTTTTTAGCAGTTCATATTTCACAGCTAATAATCACTTATTAGTTATTTCATGATATTACACTCATGCTTCATTGCATATTTCTTGGTTAAGTGAGTATTTTAATTTGTTTTGGGTGGATTCTTACTTTCTCTGAAATATCTACTGCATCGTTTGATTCACTTCAACATAAATATCCAGCTTGGCCATGATGCTTATGTAAACCAACAAAGCACTGGTTTCGGAGGTGAAGGTGGCTTTAATCCTTTCGAGCAGATATTCCGTGATCATGTAAGGACCTGGGTAGTTCCTTTGCTATATTTATTAATCATCCATATTAGGACTTAGGAGATATTTCTTTCTTTGTTAAAAGGTTGGTCTGCGTTGTTGAAAAATCAAAGTAATTACTTTCATATCCCATAGTAATAAGAAATATTCTTTTTTATATCATTTCAATTGATAAATTTATGATGTACGATCAACATAGAAGTGGGTTGTCAATTATTAATTCAATCTAAAGATAAAATGATCTAATGATTTATTAAACATATGGACAAATGTATATGGTGAAATTTGTAGTCATATTTGTCCATTTAATGTGGTTGCTTGATATGCTTGTTTATGCATCGTTTCTCATTTTCAATTGTAGGCTTGTATTGGGCTTGGTTTTATAACATGAAATCTGTCTTTTAATAATTATGTAGTCTTTAATTAAATATAAATGCCTAAAAATTTCCTGTGACATTTATCCCACATTTGAAATCTAATATGGATTTCTCAATTCCCTCAATGGCAATCAGGATTTTGTCAAGAGCTTCTTCCATCAGAATATTGGTGGCGAGGATGTGAAGGTTTTTTCTTTCTTCATATTTGGACACTTTTAAGTATGCTAAGGAGTTATTTGATCAAAGGCATCTCAATAATCTCTTTTTCAGACTTTTATAGAACTATCTTTTATGGAAGCTGTACAAGGGTGCACCAAAACTTTGACATTTCAAACTGATCTTCTTTGTAATGCTTGTGGTATGCTCATTAACAAGTTCTCAAGTGTTATCTGTCTCTACTATATTCATTTCCGCTTGATTTTTATTTTGTCAAGTTAGTGCTCTAGGAAATGAAGTTCAGAGTCACAAACCTTTCGCTTACTGAATTATTGCAGGTGGGAGTGGTGTTCCTCCAGGTACAAGACCTGAAACTTGTAAGCGATGTAAAGGGTCAGGAGTGGTTAGTATTGTCTTGAAAATAATTTAAAATTTTGTTGATAATGTTTTAAGTTAGAAGTATTGTTAAATTGATAATTTTGATATATGTTCAGTTATTTGTACAAGCCGGCATATTCAAAATGGAGAGTACTTGTGGCACCTGTAAGGGAACTGGAAAAATTGTATCGGTATGGTATAAATGGCCCCTTCTTTTTTTCTTTTCTGTTATATTAAATCTCTTTTTTTAGTATATTGCAAGGGTACAGAAAGTATGATGGATGGAGTTACTCTAAAATCTGAAGTTATTCTTCCACTTCCCCCCTGTTTTTAGTAAAATATACAATGAATGGCACTATGTTTATTATATTCTAGCCTATAACTATGATCGTCTTTCGTACGAATTACAAAATTGTGGGAATAACTTTTTTGTCTTTTGTTGTTGGTATCAGAATTTCTGCAAATCTTGCAGGGGTGCAAAGGTTATCAAAGGAACGAAGTCAGTCAAGTTGGATATTATGCCTGGTAAATGTCATTTCAATTCTTTTGGAATGCATTGTTGTTACTAGTTACGTAGGCCATGTTACAAAGTTGCATAAGACATTGTTAATACTACTAGACGAGCCCACTCCTCTACCTACTAAACTTGATAATCATAATAATAACAGCGCATAGAAAAGAAGATACTTAATGTCCTATTGAAGATGGGAAATCCTAAGTTTTAAATAATTTTCAGATACTAGTTGAAGAGCTTGGATTAATGTTGACTTTATGTCTGCCTTTGCATATATGTGTATTTTTGTTGGGGGAAGGGGGAGGGTTATGCACATCCCTCCACGTTATTTCTTAGGTTGAGCTATAGAAAGGCTGACTGATTTATGTTTTTAACATTTTCAGGGATAGACAGCAACGAGACCATAAAGGTATATAGAAGTGGTGGAGCAGATCCTGACGGAGATCACCCAGGTGATCTTTATGTTACTATCAAGGTACTTCAATAGCTTGGAAGTTGGAAATCACTTTTTTTTTTT